GTTGGAATATGGGGGATCGGTATGGAAGGAGGAAGCTTATGGCGTTATCTTTAATTGGAGTTGGATTATCTTTGGTAGAAATCTTTGTTGTTTGTACGTATATCGTTACTTTGTTTTAGTATACAAGAATATTGCTAATTCAATGTCTGATGAGGCGCCTTTCCACAGATATTTAATCTGCGTTGGGTGTGGTTATCTTCCTTTTTCCTGTTATGTGGAGGGGGGCTATACTCAAGTGCAGCTTTAATGTGGGCGATGGCTTCATCGCTCATACCAGAAAATAAGAGGTAAATACACTCTTTGGTAGAAATATTCCAGGCTGATAGATTGTGTGTAATAGAAGCTATGCATTCTACTATATATTTTCTGCATTTTATATTGCAGAGCTAGTAGGGTCATATTTAGCTTCTATCACTATAGATATTTCTCCTTGGATTGCCTGTAGTATGGCCATGGGATCTGTAATCTTAGGGTTGCTCTTATTATGGATAGTACCATTTACTCAATCCTCTCCGCAGCCAAGATCACCATCACCTCCAACATTCCCATCATCAACTACGCCCCGCCCACAGTCTACAGACCACACCCCTAGTTCCACTATTCTCACCACCATCAACCACGCCTTAACCCAGCCCAACGTTCTCCTCTGCATCCCCGTCTTCCTCGTCGGAACTCTCAGATACACAACCCTTAACCTCCTAATCCAATATTCCTCCGTTCGTTTCAACACCAAGATATCTCAAGGAGCCATGTTCTACACCGAAACAGCTGTTATTAATATATTTCTTTTTCTTTTCCTTCTCCCGAGGGTAACCGCTTTCATACAATCGAAAAATTCTGTTAGGACGGAGAAAATTGATCTGGCACTTATGAGGATTAGTGTAAGCTTTCTTTTGCTGGGGTCTCTTGCTATAGGATTGGCACCAACGAGTGGCTGGATTCCAGTTGGTATGGTCTTCTTCCTTATACCCGGGTGAACATCACTAACTTGGAGGCAGGGGTTTCTATTTTTGCCGCAGGCTGTGCGTACTATTTTACTTCATTCCTCGAATTCCATTCTATCCATACCCATATTCATCCCTGTTTTCCGTTTCTTTGCGAAACCCACAATTAACATCCACTCCAGTCGGTTCTCGCATCTCAACACTCTCCCTAATATCCCATTTCATCCCCGCCTCCTCCCTCGCCACCCTCTACGCTTCCATAGCCGTGCTCGAAAACATCGGCCACGCTATCAATGACCCTTCTATGCAACATATATTTGCCGCCACTTTACATCTACCGTCTTTTTGGCACGCCTTACCTTTCTTCGTTGCTGCTGTATGTAATCCTTCATCTTTTGATGTGTTAGCGAGGTGTAAAGTAGATAAGGTAAACTACTTGAGTGGTATAGATGTGCTAACAAATAATGCACAATAGATATGTTATTTCCTAGCAGTTATATCCACAATCTTCATAAATATTGATACTGATGAGTTGAAAACAAGAGATAATGGGGTGGAGGAATGAAATTTGTGCATTATGTAAATGACTCTAGTAGCAGGCCAAAGTTCTCCGATCCTCAATAATCAAATCATATTGTAACCTGTATTTTGTCTTCCAATTATTCTCAGCTCCATTGTAGAGATGTAAAGCAAGGACATGTAAATCAAGAACATCTCTCTTCATCTACACGATGTCCCCAAGAACCACAGATCAGCAATGTACAGCAACATCACATCTTCCTTATCCTCGGCCGTACAATCATGATCTATTTCAAATACAAATTCAAACTTAACAAACCTCTCCAATATTTACGTTTCCGCAATCTCGCGATCAACTAACAGTCATTCATCCTTGGAGAAAAAAAAACCACTGGGCAAGACAGCACTAGCTTCTTCATAGCTAATATGTGTCTTGAACTTGGCTGTAGCTAGCTAGTGATGTGAAGGGAATACAGGGATAGAATAGAATCCTATATCTCTCCCTTGGATAAATATGCAACAATATATGTATTAGAAGATCTTGGACTGGAGTTCCGAGCTTATATATATAGCGTTGGAGTATTAGGAACCGGTTCATCTTGAATTGGTAGAGGTAGATATATTTGTTAAGAAGTTTCAGTAGTAAATCTTCTTAAGAATTGCCGGGGATTCTGGAGAATCGACCTTACTATTTATGATTTTATATGTATCCTTGCATATGAGTAGATATGCAACAAAATGTATATTAGAAGAATTTAGATGGGAATTCCGAGCTTATATATAGTGTAGAAATAATAAGGAATGGATAGATCCTTGTACATTTGTAGATATGCAACAAAATGTACATTCGAAGAATCCAGATTAGAGTTCCGAGTTTATATATAGGCTAGAAGTAGTGAGAAATAGCTTATCTTGAAGTAGTAGATAATTAAATCCTTGCATATTTGTAGATCTGCAACAAAATGTATCTTCGAAGAATCTAGATTGGAGTTTATATATAGTATAGAAATAATGAGGAATGGCTCGTCTTGAAATAGTGTAGTATAGATCCTTGTACATGTGTAGATATGCAACAAATTCCTTTGGACTTTAGGGTGAAATTCCTAGAATGAGTTTAGGGTAATTAGTTGGGTGGTTTAGAACGATGATGGTATGGAAAGTTAGGAAATGAGTATGGTTTCATTTTCTATGGCCTTGTCGATTTGCTGAAGTTGGAAAAGGAGGGTGTCGTCATTTCTTTTTGAGGATAATAAAGGAAAAAAGAATTTGTATGCGGATGCAACGGAAAGAATTTTCAAATTGAAATATAGAATCTATGAACATTTCTGTGTGGAAATCTGGATAATGAGGTGATGAAGAGTTATTTGGGGAGAATTGACCGTTCCCTCAAAGCCGGAATACCGATTCTTGGTAGTCTTTGTACTATCTAGAGTTAACTATATACTAAACCTATTTATACTTTGTCTCCCTGTACAGATATGCAACAAAATGATGCCATTCTCAGACTACAGCAAGTTTTTGTTGGCTAAGGAAGGCTATCTTCATGACTAGTAGGTAGTGTCATGTTAGCTTGTCGTGGGGCTGTCAACCCAGTTACGATATTTGGTAAACTATTCTCTCAGTGGTAGGTTACAGATACAAAACCATGTGCAGACGTGCAACAAAAGAATTCAATTCTTAACTTTGAAAGCTTTGTGCAAGCTAGATGAAGCCATTTACACAACTAGGGGGTAGCGTTATGTTAGCTTGTCGTTGGACTGTTAACCCATTTACGGTTTTGGTGAACTACCTAGTAGGACTTTTGTGAAAGACTACCCATGCAGATCCCTGTACAGCCATGCAACAAAAGGATTCCATTCTCAACTCTAATAAATCTTGTGTGGCCTACATAACTAGTAGGTAGCGTCATTTCAGCTTGCCATCGGATTGTCAAACCCATTTATGGTATTTGGTGAACTAGTCTCTTGGTGGTAGATTACTAGATTATCGATAGAGATCCTTGTACAGACATGCAACAAAAGGATGCTATTCTTGACAGTAACAAGTTTCATGTTGGCTAAACGGGGCTATCTACAAAACTAATAGGTAGCATCATCTTAGCTTACCGTTGGGTTGTCAAACCCATTTACGGTTTTGGTGAACTAGTCTCTCAATAATATATTACCTATACAGAACCTTGTATAGATATGCAATAATCGGGGGTATTTCCGAACTATGATTGTGTGTGTGAAGTCAACAGGGATTGGACACTAGTGAAAACTTAATAGGAGGTAGCTACTCGTGGAGTACACCAGTGCGTCCCCTCAAGCCTTTGGCTAATTTGTTAAAGTCCATAACCGGTATCTGAAAACTTGTCTATGTGAAGTGTTGCAGATCCCTGTACCTATATGCAACAATCAAATTCAATATAACGTGAGGAGACACTTACTGCTGAATAAGATTGGTTAGCGGAATAATGGATTCGAACATTCAGTCATTAGTTTGAACTTCCCGATGAGGTCTCCTGGCCTTTATAGAACATCATGCTGGGTCCTGACACAAGTAAGTAGCAAATTAGTTGCTACCTTGGAGGTTAGCGCCTATGTGGAGAAGATTCCTTAGTAAGGAAAGCGCGAGAGACCGGCAAACTTTTTACGAATCAGAAGCCTTGCGTAGGTGGAATGAGATAAACCAAGGACCTTTGTACGTTCGTGGAAATGCGGAACGCTAGTATCAGCATTCCATAGTTGATGTGGCCAACTCAAGGTCACCTAAGACCCGGTCACTCCAGCACGGATTCCCTGTACGCACTTGCCTCAAAGACCCATTAACATCTCATCTATGCAATCTCGGGCCCACAAGCTGGCTTTCATCCATTCATCACCACATTGATATTCCGTTGGCAGTAAAGAAAAATACTCTAAAAGGTCTACTAACTACAGTTTAACATTGATTTACCTCAAGCTTCCAAACCCAATCTACTTAAATATAAGCATAAAGAGCTGCCCGTTTTTCACTATCCTGGACCTCATCTCTTCTATCCCCTCATGTGAAAAGTGCGGAAAATAGATGATGCGCGCTAAACCAATTCTTATATCATCAATGGCTTCGAAATGGCATACTGAGATCGAATTTTCCTTGAATACGACAGCGTCCTCCTTATTCCATGAACATAAACTATGTACCCCCACATTCCAGTAACGATGAGCAAGTCCCGGGGGGTAAAATGTGCGGTATGTGCTGGCTTAGCTGGTCTTATAATAGAACATACACCGTGTGATGATCCACAAAGTTGGTGATGCTGGGGCTGTGAAGGTGAGGATAGACTTTGAGGTGAATGGGCATCGTTGGGATATGAAAGATTCATATCCATGGAGGGAATTGCAGATAGTTTTGTGGTAATGCAGGCTTCACTTTAGTGATGCAGTAATGATGGTTCTTGATGAGTGAAGAATAATTGTTGGAGATCGGAGGACTTACATGTGGCCGTAGTCCTCGTATACCATCGCGTCTGGTATGCAGTTTTAGTCACGGAGGACTCATTTAGGACCTTTTCCCGATTTTACAGGATGATACATAGACTAATTTTTCTTGTCTCCTTTCCACAACTCATTAGAGAGAGAGTTGACTCATTTGAACGGTTCAATTCATCATTCGAAATAGCGTCCCAGATTTGATTGATTGTTGGTTATATCCTCTCTTCTAATTACCTTGAGATCAGCAAAGGGAGTTGAACAGGACTTCCGAAAAGACCGTCCAATAAATGTTCGGATGACGTGAATAGGACATAGCCGAGGAGATCATGTCCGAAAGGATGTTCAGTGTTAAGCTATCAATAGGAGTCAGCTAGTAAGTAATAAGTGAACAAGTAAACAGTTACTCACATCATAAAGCATCCGTAGATTTGGATATCGGGCGTTTGCAATAAATATTATTAGCTCTACATCAAGAACGTAATATATCAAACAAAATTGAAAAGAAGAAAGAAACCCAATCCAATAATAAATAAGTAGGCACTTTGATTTATTTCAAACCTTCCAAAATAAGAATAAAAATAAATATGAAAAGCAAAATGCCTTAACTACGAGCGACAAGGGACTCGAACCCTCAACCTTAGACTGGAAAGCTTCCTATAATAGGAGGTCCACACGCTACCATTGCGCCAATCACCCAAGTACATTTTGCTGATCGGTTCTGTGTTAATTTATAATCCAAAGCTGTTATGGGATAATTATATCACGTGTGCTCGCTTCTGATACAACATTTGACACGGCATGTGAAAATGTAATTGATTGGTCAAATGCTGCCCCACGTTCATTATCTAAGTTATGGTATTGGACATCTCTTTTCTAGGTATCTAAAGACTCACATTGATAGTCACTCGGGGTACGCAATATTCATATCGCACTTAGAAGGTTACATTGATCTTTTATCTTTGTACATACATCTTTGATTCTCCTTTCTTGTGGTTTCTGTTCTACATCTTTTGTGTCAGATACACAACCTCCATCAGTTATTTAAAAATTTGGAGTGGCCACCAACTAGCTACCCTCCTATCCGTCATCATTTTCGCACTTCGAGCATTGAAAGATTTTAGACCAGATAGACTTCTACAAGTATAATACTTCATCTGCAATAAATACCTGATATACATAAGCACCATGGCCTTTTCAATGCACAGTCACTCTGGACAATTTTGTCCCGGTCACGCCAAAGATACACTAGAAGAAGTGATTCAAACCGCCATTTCCCGGGGCATGCAAACTTTTGCATTAACAGAACACATGCCGCGAAACTCCAACTCGGATTTATATCCCGAAGAAGTAGGATTTGCCTTGTCCCCCATGATTTGGCAAATAATCTAACAAATCTAGGTAGAAGCTGGAGATGATATCTCTCTTTTTATACCAAGACACGAAGCTTATCTCATCGAAGCTGTTCGTCTTCGCGATACATATGAGGATAAACTTGATATCCTCATAGGTTTTGAGGGAGAATGGATTCGTTCGGATTATGGACCTCTGATCAAAGAGCTTGCTTCCCATCCTATCATTGATTTCTTCATTGGTTCGATACATCACGTGAACGAGATACCTATTGATTACGATGCTGCACTTTATGCAAAAGCTATCGAGAGGTCTGGAGGCTCGGAGGAGAAGTTATATGGGGATTATTTTGACCAGCAATACAAGATGTTGCAAACGTTGAAACCGAAGGTGGTGGGTCATTTTGATTTGATTAGACTGTTGAGCGAGAAGCCGGATAGGAACTTGAAAGAGTGGGATGGAATTTGGCAAAAGATTTTGCGAAATTTGTTAGAGGTGGCGGAATATGGAGGGTTGTTGGAAATTAATACTAGTGCGTTGAGGAAGGGATTGAAGGAGCCATACCCTGGAAGAGAGATTTGCGAGGTATGTATTAGGTGTGAAGATTGGAATGAGAAAATGCTAACTGAAGAATAGACATTCAGAGACCTTGGTGGGAAGTTTACATTGTCTGATGATAGTCATGGTATTGGACACGTTGGAACAAATTTCGTTAAGGCGATTGATTATTTGGAGTCTCTCCAAGTACAGAAGCTTTATACATTCGAGAGGAATACAAAAGCGGGGTCGAATGAGGTCACAAAAGTGTTGACCTTGAAAAGTGTACTTGTGTCAAGCGTCAAAGAGACTTTTATCCCTGAATGATAGACAATTCTAAGGTAGTTATATATCACTCATCAAATGATACCATAACGGAAATGTGTTTGAATATGCTGTTCCGGGTTGTTATAAATTGTTTATGTGAGCATAATAATTGAAGCATTAGGGATGATTCATTTATGATCTACTTTCCTTAGAATCAAAGCACTTCAGGAATTGAAAATGGAGGCCTTGAAGTCATATCCGTTTTTCGGTTCTGAGTATTTCAGTTCTGAGTATTTCAAGAGTCGAAACTGAGAAGTACACGTGCTCCTCTCGGGAATTCTAACTCTGGGATATAAAAAGGCTGTGCCAGTCTGGTGCCATGTATATATCCTTATGATTCTTCAATATGTATGTCCCCATTAGTAGCTACCGTAGCTTTGGTTCTGTTTCTATTGTCAAAGATGAGATATCATGTCGGAAACTGGTAAAATACAAGTGGGCTTGCGGCTGGTTTCATCTTATGGTCTTATTGTCACCATTCCTCTGTTGTACTGTTGTCACCAGAGTCAATGATAACCACTGGGTATTTTTTCTCAAATGAGTATTGTAGATATAATCAAATCGTCCCATACGAGTATTTCAGTATACAGTAGCTCGATAGATCATTCGTAATTCGGATTATTTTGCAGCAATCTATGGCGCTTTCCTATAAGGATGTTGTAATTGAAACTGTGGAGTTGGATAGGGGGAACTTTCCGCCTTAATTGCAAGATAAATAGCACTTGCTGAATTGCAGCCTTTGATTCACTGGGTACTTTGCGCTCCACGTGCCTAGGTACCTACTTAAAGTTATCTCGGGAGACCTCAGGACAGAGTGTATATAATTAGTGAATATCTATCTATACAGTCTATTCCCATTATATCTTGGTATCAAGTAAGATTACTTGTTCATATATACATTTCTAGGTATGTATATATATTTGTCCATAAAACCGGTTGTCTCTAACTCTGTGCTACTCCGGATTATCTATACTTTATCTATCTATAGCAAGAGTTGGGTTCTTTCCTAGTTCTCTGTGCCTAGGTGTTTGCACAAACTTGCAGGCTTTGAATTGAGTTAAAACTAGAAATGTATTCAATGTCGAGGCGGTATCATTGTCTTTGCATTAGATTGCATGGTTCCTTGCTCAACTCCTACATCAGTATTTGTGCTGCTGATTTCATATTGTGTTTTGAACACTATATACGCGTCCCCATCGTTCCGAAATATATTTATACATAAAGACTTTTTGTCATTCTGTTTTATTCATTGTGTCTCTAATTATGTTTTATAGAGTGATAGACTTCTTCATGTGACCTCATCTCATCTCATAATCCATAGTAAGATCATACATTTCAGCTTTCCTGTCTATAATATCTCTTGAAACCATTTCTTTATGAATTTAGCTTTTATTATTAACAATGTGGTGTTAAGCTCTGATTTATAGAATCTTATATACTATTGTACATATAGGTACCTGGCTAGGATACAACAGTATCATCTCGCTTAGTCAACCGTCTAGCACCGCGTGCATCGAATCAAGTGAATATGACTAGATAGCCCCGCGTCGTCATATCAATCATTCTCTAGAGAATTTCTAATCATAGCACCTCCCGTATATAAAGCCACAGAACCATACTCTGTTGGAGACGCAACATTGAAGGAATATTGGTGGGACATCCGGCTATGAGCTGTTGCGCTTTAACACTTTACTTTCCGGGTTGCTGACCTTCAAACGTGAATGAATACTGCAATTAGCTGAATGGAAACTAATGGCTTTTTTCTGAATAAGTAGTGTTTGTTCTTGCGGCGAAGTTTCATTGTCATTATCTGGATGTATGTCAACTTTCCCATTCATTTATTAGTGTCACGCTGCGAAATGTCTCACTATCGTCAACTCTTTACTAAACTAATCTTACAAAACTTCCAGAGTATGCCACTTGTACAAAACGATAATAGAATCCTCCCCATTGGTAGTCTTACCACGTCACAGCCACACGGTCAGAGATGAGACGCCTCTTATCCTCCTTAGCCTATAGTAACGTTAACTCCCGTGCTTATGGCGCCCCTATACCTTTTTATTCCTACTATAGAACTAGCTTTTATTTCTCCAAAACCATATTTTCCTCCCGAGATTCACTGTCGCTAAATATCAAAGCAAGAAATTAATGATAAAGAAATCTATTGGGTTTCTTGAGACCAGAAAGAGCATCAGATTGAATTGATTGATTCTCTAGCTAAGCAGTTAAGCTGCGAGTATATATTCAAAAAATGAAGGAATAAGGTTAGGCATTCAGCCTTCGGAATTAAAGTGCTTTGAAATCAAAATATTGAAAGCAAACAAACAGTATACCAAAAAGGAAAGAATGAATTAAAAGTTGAGTTTTGTTTGCTCCTTATATGCATCATGCAATATATATGCATATGCTGCCAAGATCCCAGGAGGTCAACAAAATCTGTCTCCCTTAACTTCAAAGGACTTTTGAGTATAAAACCTCCTGAGCTTATAACCATAATACTATATAACCTATTATCGATCTCACAATGCAAATTAGAACTACAAATTCCGACGGAGTGAAAACCCCTCAGCTAACTCAAAAAGAATCACCTGCGGGAACTAACCCTAATTATTCTTCTGAAATTTTTTGTTATTTCCAACTGCGTATTATCAATTCATTCAATCGCCTAGTTCTTTTCATTGCATATTCTCACCGTATACTATATCTACACTACTATTACTACCTAGAATCTTATCACTTGAAAAACGACAACTACAACCAAAACCAACATGCAACTATAAGCTCTCAAAAAACTATACCAAAAGACCTGTGAATAACTCCACGATATCCACCTACAAATAGATATTTACAGAGTACCACTGGCATAAGGACATAAAATCCTGACCCAAGATCATGCATGATAAATGGCGGAAATTGATTCTTGTGTTTTGAAATCACGGGGGTTTTATATACTCCCTATATTATTAAAGAGAAAATCTTATGTTTATTTCTCTAGAAGATTATATTAACCTTTGCCTTCTCAGTTTAACTCAACCTGAAAAAGGTTCAGATTCTCATCTACTTCAGCTTCCTGTTTAAACACTTCTCTTGATCTCTTTATCTTCAACATCTCTCATTATATGAATTCTTAATCCGCCGCAGAATATAAAATTTTATACTATATATTCATCTAGAGATACTCAATCTAGCTGCTTATATGTATATTCTTTTGATTTCAGCATCCTGATCCCTTGTATCTTATATTGAGCTTAAACTTAATTACAAATTTAATTATTAATTTCAAGGAATCAAAGAGCCCAGATCCCTATTCGTAACACACCTTGAAGAGTACTTCAAATATACAACATAAGATCTTACCATATATGGAAAATAACAACGCGTACGCTTAGCTGAGCTTCAAAAATTTATATATAATCATTCAATATATCAATCATTTGTCTGCTATATTTCATACGCATGCTTGCTCATATATCGCAGATGGGGTATATACAAGTATACAAGTACGACCAGTCGCTCATATATAGAAAAGAGCCCGGTTTCAATATAATCAAGGACGGGACGAAAAAAGAACGTGCTCGCCAAAAAAAAAGTTCAAATAAAGATAAATAGACCAAACCGTCAATCTAGCTAGCTGTAGAGGTTTCTTAATACACAACCCCCTCTAAGATTGAACCACCATAAATTTTATAATTTTCTGTCCTGGCGCCAAATCACTCGGTTTTCCTGAAATTAGAAATCCTCACATCATTTACATTAACCCTAAATCATCCTGCTGCATTTCGATCTTGTGCTGCCTGTGATCACATGTACGTCAGTAATTTTCTCAGAATAAGCAACTGGATCAAGGAAAGCCTAAAAACATACCTCCACGGCACGCTCCCAATCCGTTCTAACCAAGAACCACCCCTCAATCGCTGCCACTAACCCCAACGCCAGGGCAACACCCAACCACAATCCCTCTAATTGCCATCCTAATCCAAATGCAGTTCCAAAACTAATTGGCATCGCTAATACATAGTAGCAGAAGAGATTAACATATCCACCTATCTCCTGTCTTCCCAATCCTCTGAGCAAGCCATTACAATTTGCCGCCAAAGCATCAAAGAGTTGGAATGCGGCGCAGAGAGGTAAGACGCTGGCGACGATTTTTATAACGTCGAGGTCGTCGGTGAAGAGACGGGGCACGATATTGCGTAGGGAGGAAATGAGTGTAAAGTTGAATAGTCCGACTATGCAGGCAGCATAGATGGCCTGACAGGTAACCCTTGTTAGCTCAACGGCTCTTAGAAGGAGATGCGCAACATCTGGGAACACAAAACTAAAGCTCTACGTACCACTTTCGAACTAGTTTTGGCTGCATCTGAAAGTGTGGCACCAATAAGATTTGCCACACGGGTGGAAGCTGCAATAGAAATGGAGAATGGGATTTGGAAAGTTAAAGCAGTTATGGTAGTAAGAACACTTTGAGCCGCAAGATGCGTTACGGAAAAGTAACTCGATGCTAAAGTTAAAACCTCAAATGCTAAGTACTCTGCCAACACCATGACTAGGCCAGGAAGAGCGAGTTTGATCATCGGACCTGGTACTTGTTAGAATTGTATGAGCAGAGCGCAGCCAAAACTTACCCCAGTTATGAAAAGCTCTCCATGTAAACCCATCCCAACAATCTTTTCCATCCACGAATCGGACGTATAGGAATAATAAAAGAGGTAAGAGATTATCTGTCACAGCAACAGCGATTGGAGCTCCAATAAACCCCCACTCAAACTGCCAAACAAACAACCAGTTCATGAAAGCATTGAGAGGTGCGCAGATGAGTAAAACGTAAGTGGTTGCAGAGAACAATCCTTGTGCTTGTACGAATCTTTTCGCACTTTCGAAAAGGGCCATTCCGGGAGCTCCGAATAGTAAAACTCGAAGATATAGACCTGCCAGCTCTGCGGAACGTTTATTGGGTACGATAGTTTCCAGGATTTTCTCGGCACTCAACCAAATTATGCCTATTGGTATAGTCAGAGCCCAAAGGAACCATACCATTCTTTGCAATTGCAATCCGACTAGACCTTTTCTACCAGACCCGTATGCCTGCGCACAAAGTGTATCCAAACTTGTAGCAAGTCCTTGATAGACGGCATATCCACTAATATTCGCTGTCATACTAGCCAAACTGACAGCACCCAATTCTATTTTTCCGAGATGTCCGACCGTGAATATACTGGCAACGGTAAGGGAATATTGAAGGACAAAAGTCACAACCAATGGGCTCGAATATCTCAGTAAAGTTTTCGCCTCTCGTTGCCATGTTGTTTTGATCTTTCCTGCTGCTACAGCTTCTTCCCATTGTCTGTTTAGTCTCTCGTGACGCGAACGCGCAGACTCGTGCTGCCCATTTGGTAGCAATGCTGAAGTCTCCGATGGCGTTCCAGCTTCTTCATCGCCCGCTGGCTTTGGTATTTTTGTGCTAAATAATTTCCTGTATAACCGGTTGAAGGCGCTTCGCTTCACTCGCTCGGGATGTTTCGGTGGAGCTAGATGATTGTCCCTCAATAAACTCCTTTCCTCGTTCCTCGAGTCATGTCTTTCCTTCTTGCTCAACCATGCTGTATCTTTGAACTGGGGAGTAAGAGCAGGACGAGTACCAGCGAAAGCCACAAAACTCGGCCTCCGATACGAATGCGTCATTGCGTGTTGAGCCTCCGATTGGCGAATTGTGGAAGCCTCTGAAGACTCATCCCCAGAGCTAGTACATTCATTCTGCTCCGGTGTTTCTGCATCATCTGCGGGATATTCCGCTAAATCTCGCGCAAGTGATTCTTGAGCTATAGGTGAGCGAGATATGAATGAAGTGCTAAAAGGAGATCTGGAGATTGAGTCCCGTAGGTTGCCCTCACCCCTAGATTTGATTGGTACTGGAAAAGAAGACATTGTTGCGACGGTGGTATATATCTGATCAGTATCAAATATTTTGAAGGATTGTAGATTATGCTTGATAAGAGCTACGGTTCCGATTCTTTCTTGCTTCTCTTCTCCCACCACAAAATAATGTAACAACTGACGCAATGCAACGAATGGTGTTCTCGTTGACAAACACGTATCCCGCGGACAACAAATGAAGAAGAAAAGTAGAATCAATCAAAAGATATAGAACGACACAAGCAGAACTCAATTGAAAATCGAGTTAAGACTCACTCACTCACTCACTCACCGTCCAGGCCAACCCAGTAAACGATCGATCCATTTTCATCTTCTTACATGTGCCCGCTGACATGGTTTGAGCGGAAACGGGGGGTCCACCGCGCCATAGCAAAGCAAATCCACCAGGTTTGTCGGCAAAAGAATTCCCTGTCCAATAATGGCAAATTTCAACAATCGGAAATGTTCATCCAAATTATGAATGCTAAACTCTGATAGGCAGGTATTCCCATAAGAACAAAAGTCCTTTGGGATAAAGGGTTTAATGAATGCGAAGATTCCCGAGCACCAATTCCGATAAGATCTGGCGAGTTAGATCGAGTTGATAAGTGGGTGATGTTATGCGATGAAAATTATGATGTGTCAAAAAAAATAATATAAAAAACCAGCCACCAGAGAGCATCAAGGGTCTATGTAATAAAATTTGTTATCATCCGAGGTGAAATCAATCGGAGCGGATTAATGATATCGCGAATCCCGCTTGGGTCATTTCGTGATCCGCTACTCTGTACGCTAAGAATAAAGTCTGGGGTATCGTTGAAGCTTTGAAGCTTAAACTTGAATGATGGAACATTTTCGGTATTTTGACATACTTTATTGATAACCTTTGGACTTTTCTTCTTAATATACCAACCTATCCACAATGGCTCGTGTTCAAGAGGAAGAAGGGGAAGGGCATCAAGAGTCTCAACCGGAATTATATTCACCAATTTATTTTCCCCGTCGTCCTGCACCTGTTGATGTCGCGAAGTATGTTTCTTTTTCACCGTCTTTTAATCCCGATTCTAATTCCATCTACCTCCATAATCCCCTTTTACAAGATCCTCAAACTTATCATATCAGGCTTACAAACTGTTTCCAGCTACCACGGTGAATCTGTCTTCTGCACACCTCCGCTCTTCGGCCCCCTCCTCTTCGATAATGTCGACAGTGATTGTCGCGATCATTGCGCCAATGAAAGAACCTTCCTCTCTTACCTCCGACTCTCCATCTACATGACCATTGTCTCCTTAGCCATAGTTCTCTCTTTCCACCTAAAGTCAACTCCCACACAGCTCGAGCTGCGTATGGCCCAACCTCTTGGGATAATCTTTTGGGTGCTTTCTCTCGTTTGCTTGGCTTTAGGGTTTGGAAATTATATGAAGACGGTTAATAAATATAGTCGGAGGGTGGCTATTGTGCAGAGTGGATGGAAGACTCAGGGGGTGAGTGGTTGTTCTTTTCTTTTGCTGTCTTCAGTTCCTGAACTTCATGGAGGAGCTATTTGCTGGTAGCATCTCAGTAGCGTGGTTAATGCCTATCTGAGAAAAAGGATGGGAAGACTTTGAAAGCTGGTTGGAAAGGTCTGTAATGCAGACCTTCCGGCATCTAAGGAGAATCAAGCGCCATCTATCCGTTATTAGACGACAACTACGAATGGACATGCTGATTTTTAATCATCTGTAGGTTCTCACGACAGTCGCAGTTGCAATAATAGCAGTCTGTGTTTTGTTTCTGGCGACAAGTTCAAAAAGAACCTAGTACAATAGACCGAGATCTTAGGGTGTACAAGGGCCTTACACGGTCTCAAGCTCATTACACCAGACACATTTCTCTCTTCACATTATTTTATCACTATTGCATGCGGCAAGGACATAAAGTTCAAAACTTATTATACGTATTACTTCAGGGTTTGATTTTTTAGTCCTCGATTCTTGTCGCAAAGCTTGGTAGATATTTGACTTCCGGATTCCAAGTTGTAGCAAGGTCGTAACTCAAAGTGCCTGGAGGACGCCAAAGGATTGCATTGAGGATGCTACAGCAAGAATAAAATTTACACATGATCAAGCATAAACAGCCAGTCATTCTGACAAGCATCCGATCAGATTCGAATGAATTAGAAATCCAGTAAAGTGAAGGTATGAAAGTACAGGACTAGTGAAAAATGAAGACAGGAATGGCAAATGAGTATTCTCGAAACTCTTTGCAGAAACACTCAAATTATCCCTGCGGTGCTAGTTCATGATCGTTCATCGGAAGCTCACGGGGAGCCAAGTTTACGAAACTCGGCAACGCGAGAAGTCTTCAAGGGGCACAACGGGAGCAAAACATACCTACCTGCTGGACAGGTAGGTATTTACAAACTCTAGCTCTCAATAGGTACTCACTTCTCACCGTAATAAAATAGTTCTAGTTTCTATAGGAATATTAGTACTGTTACTAGCATTAGATCCGGTTGTACGAGTAGTGTTCGAGGCCTTTGTCATTTTTAATTGATCTCGAATAACCAATTTCACTCAGAACATTAGACCATGACCAAAAATCTACACTTTGGTCCACGGATCTATCCTTTCTTCTTTCCTTCCCCGCAAAATCTGTAAATAGATATCATATCCTGGGTCTAACACTCCGGGAAAGCGCGAGTAAACAGTGAAGAATTGCTTCATCTCAAAATGTTTGAACCTCCGTTCTTCTTTTCCTCAAATAAACACACTCCATTTTGCTACACGGAGATTTTGATCACAACTTGCTCCCAATTTTGCTTGCCTCCTTTTGCTTTTTGCTTTTTTGATTTTCTTGGTCCGATATCGACATCTCGTGACGTTTTGATCCTTTACAATGGGATTCTACAAGCTTTCCTTAATATTCCTTACGGTCCAGCTCAGTGGATTGGTATCTCCGATACGTCTCGCTCATCGTGATCTCAATGCGGACTTCTTGCCATGCTACGACTACATCATTGCTGGAGGCGGTGTTTCTGGACTTGTCCTTGCCAACAGATTGTCAGAAGATCCTGATGTAACAGTTCTGGTCATTGAAGCTGGTAATCTGTAAGTTTCTTTCAAATTTGTCTCTTGGCTGCTGTTAATAATGAATAAGGGATAATGACGAAGATTTTATCATATATCCTTTTGACGATGGAGAAGGTCTTGGATCAAGTTATGACTGGAATCTTTGGTCTGCACCCCAGACATCTCTTGATGGCTCTTCCAGGCCAATTGATCTCGGAAAGGGTGTGGGAGGTGGTAGTCTCATCAATGGCATGTGCTGGACTAGAGGTGGGAGTGCCGACTATGATGCCTGGGTAGCTCTTGGAAACCCTGGATGGGGATGGAATGATCTTTTACCATACTTCAAAAAAGTAAGATCTCATCTAGTCCTTGCTGAAATCTGGCTAACCGTATGTTCAATCAGACTGAGAGTTACACCCATGATGTCGATGCAGCGTTTGCCCACGAGCTATATGTGTATCCAGATGCTTCGACGCATGGTACCAGCGGATATATTGATGTCTCGTACCCAAAATACTTCTATCCTCAGTCTCGTAAGCTACCCTAGCCTTCTCACCGCACTTAAAGAAAGAAGACCTGACAATGCACCAGAATTATTCCTGGATGGACTACGAGAGCTTGGAATCCCCACCCTGCTCGACCCAAACAATGGTACAACTGCTGGCGGAATGTTGATACCAAATAGCCTTTCACCCGATAACCAAACACGTTCTGATGCGAGGCGCGGTTATTATGACGGTTTTATCAACCGCCCAAATCTACACGTTGCCACTGGCCTTGTTGTCATTAGAGTTCTGATGGATTCAGCTCCTCCAGAGGTTCTTGCCCGAGACCTTCCAGCCGGTCAATGGATTACCGGTATTCAGGTAATTAAATTACATTGAAAGGCTAGCCTGAAATTCTCGGCTCACATCATTTAGGTTGCACCTTCTCTTAGTACGGTCGTGCGTGAAATTTCATGCTCACGAGAAGTCATACTGGCAGCAGGAAGTGTTCACACTCCTCAAATACTTGAGCTCTCCGGCATCGGCCAGTCATATATACTTGAACAACTCGGCTTACCTGTACACATAAATTTGCCAGGAGTGGGAGAGAACTTCCAAGATCATCCTTACGTTGGTGCCGTATACTACTGTAAGTGCTCTTCTCCCCTTTCACGGTATTTCTAACAGTGCTAGATACTAATTCTAGCTACCCAACCATTGTTCAAATAGACAATGACCAACGACTTCTCAGTCAAGCAGAGCAAGAATATTACGTTAACAAGACCGGTAGGATTACCCCCCTAATGCTAGGCTTAGCACTAACGATTTCAGGACCCTGGACTGCTGGAGCAATCAATACAGTCGCTTTCCCATCGCTATCCCAGATTACTTCAAATTGGACTAACAGAATCGCCGATGCCGAGAAGCAAGGTGTAATGGACTACTTAGTGCCAGGCCTGGATGCGAGTGTTGTCTCAGGATATGCTGCGCAAAAAGACCTTATTGTTAAGCTTCTTAACCGTCCAGATGTCAGTGCTTACGAGCTTCTCAATGATAATGAAGGACTTCTTTCAGTTGCTGTAATGCATCCTCTATCCAGAGGAAGTGTTCATATTACGACAGATAATCCATATGTACCACCCGATATCGACCCACGCTATTGTTCAAATCCACTTGATCTTCAGATATTGACGGACGCTCTTATGTTCAACAACAAAGTTGTGAACACTAATTCGATGAAGTTATTGCAACCAAGACCTTACTATCCGTTTCTTCCTGATGCCACATCAGAAACCCTAAAACCTGCAATTTATTCGGGTGTAAGAACGGAGTTTCATGGTTCTGGTTCAACTTCCATGATGCCACGCGAGCTAGGCGGCGTCGTAGATCCAGATCTTCGGGTCTACGGAACCAAAAATCTTAGAATTGTCGATGCTGGCATCATACCAATGCTTCCTGCCTCCCACCTACAAGCACCAGTCTATGCCATTGCAGAGAAGGTATTGTGCTTCCCTGTGTCATCTGGCTTTTACCCTTGCTGAATCAATGCTAGGCTGCTGATACCATAAAGCGTGACAACTATGGATTATCTCCTAAAGGATGTGGTAAAAGCTCTTCATTTGCACGCCCTGGTCCAGTCTTATCGAACCTGTCAATTAACTCTTTAAAAATATCCGCCTCAAATCCGGTACCGAGTTCTACAACCCCACAAACTGTGCCATCAAATTTAGCGTCACCTTCCCCTTTGTCATCCTTCCACGTCATATCACCTCCAGCGGGCTTTCCAATCCCTGGACCGCAAGTAGAGAAAATTTCCACCCATCCATTTATCCCTAACTTGGGAAGCTCGGCACTCAGCGCATCAGTACTATTGCCTGCTATTCAAGGCTGGAATGATTCTTCTCAGTCAGCCCATGAAATGGGAACAACTATAGTTGGAACGCCAATTAGAAACTCCGTAGCTCAATCGACAGCCACGACTCTTTCTGTTGGTGCCGATATTGGAAGTCCGGCCCTTAGAAACGCTTCGGAGAGTGCCTTCATGTCACCTGGAACTGCAAGTGTACATAATGCTCATGTGCCAGCACCAGAGGCAAGCACTTCCGCCACCACGTCTGTTGTAGCAACAGCCACTATTAAGATCGAATCCACTTCCGATCTTCCAACTTCGAATAGAGATGTTCAATCAAAAACCATTAACAAGGGTCCTCCAGCTCCTGCACCAGATGCAACAACTTCCACCTCACCATTTATACCAACTACGACTCTTCAGACTGTACAAATTACGCATCCATCGCTGGCAGGTCAAACATCTCAGCCAATTACCACCAGCCAGAACGCATTAGCAGATGTGGCAGCTGTGTTTGGGGCAAAGTTGGAGCAGATAGCTTCAACTCTTGTTTCCACTCATGTAACAGATGCAGATGTGCCAACACCTAAAATCACGTCACCTGCTCCTGTGCTCAATATACTTCCCGCACCAGCATTAATGTTCAAAACAATGGAACGTTCTGATTTTCATTTGGTAGCTTCAATGTTGGAAGTCAAGTATGCAACGCTATCGACGGATTAATTACATGGTTGATTGCGATGGTTTGCGATTGAAAGTTTCGGTGTGAGACAAAGTTCTGTCGAGTGAAGATTTTATGTGGTTCAAGGATATTGGAATGTAATGAAGGGGAGAGTTGTAAGAGTTTCTGGAAGTTTTGGGAGGTACTAGTATTTGCACAACCAATTTTGACCTTGTCACTTGTCACTAGACATAAGGGTTGCTTCTCATTGTAATTAGAATTATAGAGGTAAAATGAACATAACATTCCGTCTGTGTAATAAATACGCCGACAACTTTTGCTAATCGATCTGGTACGGTATGTGCGGGTTACTTTCATCCTTCGTACATAGTCTTACAAAATTCTTTTGGGGAAATACACCGCCTGGCAGAATCATGATGCTTTGAGGAAGTGGACGGCTGTCACGTGCGCGACATCATTTGCATCTCGTTCTTTTCTGGTCAAAATGGGTACTTTCATGAAATAGTCACAAATTCTTTTTAAATTTCGAAACGAATACCACTTGAGACTTGAGAGACTTGAGACATTCATACTTTCTAACAAAATTCCCTTCTCTCATACTTTTGACTTAGACAAATTATATTGTGACTTGACTTTAAACACTCATCACCACCCTGGCCTCAAAGCCGAAATATTGCATGCCATCTACACCTGATATTTTATCAATAATTAATGCGGATCGGATACTGGCAGTTAAAACTAGAAGAAAATAAACCATGGCTGAGCCAATGGATCTTGATTCAGTGGCAGGGGCATCAAGAGGTACAAAAAGAAAAGCTGAAGATGAACTCCCAGAAGTCACCGCCCCTAGGCGGATCAAGGTGAGTTTTAAGACCTCATCCAATATAATTATCATATGCTGATTATTATATAGGCATTGGATCCCGATGTAGTCAACAAGATTGCAGCAGGCGAAATTATCGTAGCTCCAGTACATGCGCTTAAAGAACTCATTGAGAATGCCGTTGATGCGGGCTCAACATCTATTGAAGTACTTGTTAAAGATGGTGGTTTGAAGTTATTGCAAATCACTGACAATGGACATGGAATCAATGTATGTCTCAAATTTCCTTTAAAGCGTTTTCGTACACGAGCTGAGTTTTCTTAGAAAGAAGATATGGCAATTTTATGTGAACGGTTTACAACCTCCAAGCTCAAGCAATTCGAAGATTTAACGTCGATTGGAACTTATGGTTTTCGTGGAGAAGCTTTAGCCAGTATTAGTCATATCGCACATCTAACTGTCACAACAAGGACGAAGGATTCTAATTGTGCTTTCAGAGCACATTATGATAGTGGTCGTTTAATACCCGCAAAGCCTGGTCAAGGCTCGGATCCAAAGCCTATTGCTGGTCGTGCAGGTACACAAATCACGGTGGAAGATCTCTTCTATAATATACCTACACGGCGTCGTGCTTTCAGGTCAGCATCTGAAGAGTATAACAAAATTCTTGACGTTGTTGGGAGATATGCTATTCATTGTGATGGGATTGCGTTTAGCTGTAAGAAACATGGAGAGGCTAGCACCACCATCTCGACGCAAATAGCTTCTTCCACTGTAGATCGCATTCGACAAATTCACGGTAGCGGAGTAGCAAATGAGCTAATCGAGTTCAAATCTGCTGATCCGCGATGGGGATTTACTGCTCAAGGTTGGACAACCAATGCAAATTATCATGTCAAGAAGACAACGTTACTTTTATTCATCAACCATCGTTCCGTCGAGTCAACGGCCATTCGAAAAGCTATTGAACAGACTTATTCTGCATTCCTCCCCAAAGGCGGCCATCCTTTCACATACCTCAATCTTGAGATCGAGCCACAACGGTTAGATGTCAATGTCCACCCCACCAAACGAGAAGTGAACTTCCTCAATGAGGAAGAGATTATCGAGAAGATATGCGCCGACATCCGAATAAAGCTCGCAGATGTAGACAAAAGTCGAAACTTCATGACGCAAACCCTTCTTCCCGGAGCTCAAGCACCATTAGTTGCAGACATGCTTGGTCCTGCCGCCTTTGCCGCAGCAGAAAAAGCCCGAACCACGGCCAGACCCTACGAAAATAACCTTGTCCGGACGGATTCGAAACTTCGCAAAATCACCACTATGCTTCCATCCACAACGAAGGCGGTATCTGCTGCTAGAAATGACACACCCATTCCCTCTGGAAGCACTACGGTGACTGGCTCCCAAGATGTAGAATATACATACACTGACCGCGAACCCATAATTTGCCGCTTAATGACCATCAAAGAGCTTCGTGCCTCTGTTCGCGACTCCATGCATAACACTCTAACCGAGATATTCGCTAGTCATACTTTCGTCGGTATCGTTGATGAACGCCGTCGCCTTGCTGCCATTCAATCCGGTGTAAAACTTTTCCTCGTCGACTATGCCGCTATCTCCTCTGCTTTCTTCTACCAAGTCGGCCTCACTGACTTCGGGAACTTCGGTCAAATCCGCTTTGATCCCCCTTTATCCCTTACTTCCCTCCTAACCCTCGCAGCCACTCACGAAAAAGAAACCGCTCCCCCCAATGTCTCTCCCGAAGATGATTTCGAAATAGAAGAAGTAGTAGAAATCGTCTCTGAACAACTAATCTCCCGCCGCGAAATGTTACAGGAATATTTCTCCTTCTCCATCACCGCCGACGGACTCCTCGAAGGAATCCCTCTCCTCCTCAAAAACTACACACCAGCTCTCTCCAAACTTCCCCAATTTCTCCTCCGTCTAGGTCCGCACGTAAAGTGGACCAACGAAAAAGAATGTTTTTCTTCCTTCCTACAGGAATTAGCTAAATTCTATGTTCCCGAACAATTACCTCCATCTCCTGGTCCGGAAGATCCTCAACGCGAGGGAGATGAACAAAATGAAATAGTAGGAGAACCTTTCATTGCCCTGGAAATTAAACAGAGGAGGGATGCGGTGAGGAAAATGGTGGAAGATGTGTTGTTTCCTGCTTTTAGGACGAGGTTGATTGCGACGAGAGATTTGATGGGTGGTGCGGTGCTCGAGGTTGCGAATTTGAAGGGTTTGTATAGGGTTTTTGAACGGTGTTAGCCTTAGGTTAGGTGGGGTTTGTGAGAGGGGCAGAGGAATGGAATATATGGATTTGCGGAATGAGAATGAGATTGAGGATGTGTTAATTATCATATAGGTGGATTATTATATTTCAAGGGATGGATGGGAAGCATGGAATGAAATGGGAGTTTAGCATGTTTGTATGTATGTATATTTCTCATCGCATTATTACATGATCTGATGGACTGGCTAGAATATTATATCATATTGTAATTTAAATACAGGATTAATAGCATAGTATAGCATAAATAGCATAACACAACGGAGCACAGCAGAGCACAGCAGAGCACAGCAGAGCATAGTATAATATATACTCAGCCTCTAGATTCTAAACTATAGTATAAATTAAATATTATATTTATTAATATACTAAATACTATGTATGCTTCATTGAATTCATACTATTATTCTCACTGGGTATATCGTTTTGATAATGATTGATTGATATATACCCACTCGTGAATAGGATTACATAGATAGGTATCTACCTACCTACTACAAGAATTCCACATCTACACATCTATACCTCAAAAATCACATCATATCACAACGACATCAGCTTTATTAAGCCATCCAATCTCATAACTTGTGAGGACTCCAAATCATCTATCATTTTCATTTCCATTTTCATTTTCATTTCGTAGTTATCCCATATCTCCCCTCATTCAAGGGAACATGATATGCATATCTACTACTGTAGCCCCTCCACCGTACCAACCATTATAATACACTAGTTTAATATCCCATTCCTTTCTTTTCTTTCCTACCTCTCAACACACTAGCTCTTTCCATCTTCCCACTCCGGGTTCTATTGCGTATATTAGTTAGCATTTTCATATTCACATATGCCCACACATACAGCACACGTCACATAAGATTATCAACATACCTTTCTCAAAATGACCAATCCCTCCAGATTACTGCTCAAACTGATATATTGTTCGTCTTCCAGTTCCGCTCTTTCACCATATGCCAAAAGTACAGGGGTACTCTGTGTTTGCCAACCAGTAATGGTCTTAGGACGACCAGCTTGTCCTACGACATCAACAGCTTGTCCGACTCTAACATTGACTGTTAAGGGCTTCAGATCTTCGTCAAGGGTTACGAGGAATCTGGGGTGCATGGCGGTGACGAGGTAGTATAAGAGGTAATGTGACTTAGTCGTGACGAATTGTTTGGCATCGATCATGGCGATCAAGACGGAAAGAAGACCACCGGCAGCCACTCGTGAAAGTACTTGACGGTCGGTGTGGAATGGGTTAATGGAGAGAGTTCCTTTACCCATGTGAAGCAAACCTTGAGCAATTCTTACCATGAACAGTGCATCAGCATCGCGATGGTAGTAGCTAGCCAATTGTCGGAGTAATTGAGCAAGTCTAGCATTGTTGGTTCCAGCACCCAAGAGACCCATAGCGAAGATAGCATTAATCGCAACATCGTTGTCATTGTCATGACTGTATCGAGATAATGTATCATACACCTTCATCTGTGGGTTACTAGGACTTAACAGACCCATGGCGAGAGGAACTGCTTTTCGGATATTGGCTTCACCGTAGTGCATCAAATGAGCAAATTGACGCAAGACCATCTCTTGCCCAACATCTTCTCCCATGGCGACCAAACCAAGACCCAAGACAGCGTAAGCTTGAAGTAATTCATCGCCCTTCTTATCATCACTTTCTTCAATGTGATCGTTGCAAATGTGAAGAAGTTCTTGGAGCTTCAAAACTGTTCCAGTTCCAGCCCAGGCACAAATCTCTGCCAAAACAGCTGTTGGCTTAGACATGGGATGATCAACAGCTTTTAGGGTCTCGAGAATAACATCCACATTCTCCTGTTGTCCAAAGAACAATAAACCTAAACCAAGAGCCATAAATCTAGTCCACTTGTCCTTGAGTTGAGATTTGCGATCATCGTCAAGGAAAGTTTGGAAGATAGCTGAAGTGATATCACTGTTGCCAGACCCAACGAATATCATACCTAAAGAAAGGGCTGCCATGGCGGAGATTTGCATTTCCACAGATGTGTCGGTAACAATAGGTAAGAGAAGGTCTAGAAGTTGTTCTCTATTTGATCCAGCATAAGCAAGACCCAGACCCATAATGGCACCAACTCTAACGAGAGGATTATCGTGGTTAAGCTTCTCCTCTTCGCCAAGAAGGGCGAGAGCAGGATCAGAATCGATTCGTACTCCAGAGTTCATTATACCAATCGCTAACAACGTACCAGCTTGAATTTGAGTCTCTGGAGCGTATGTGTATTTGTCAATCTTGTCCAACCCTGTCTCGATGTCCCAGAGAAGTAATGTACCCATCGAAGCGACAGTGGACATCATTCCCTCTTCCTTTGTTTTCCAGACCCAGCTTGCCTTCTCATCCTCAACCATCATCATCTTATCGTTGCCGAATCCAGCGTTTACGAAAGCATTGACAAACCCTGCTGCCAAATTATGTCCAGCAGAATCAAGGTTCGTTAAACCTGACACCCTGTTACTTTCCAAATGACTCTTGTAAATGTCTTCTGTTGTCTTTGGATCCAGAATATTCAACTCCTTGGCCAAAGCCTTGAAATGTTCCGGCATCTTTGTATTATACATACACTCCACGATTTCCTGATCCTCGCTCGTTTCGTATGGTAGGTCGTCGAGAACTATTCTTTGGCGAGCAATAAGGAAAGCCATCTGTTTTTTCAATGCCGGGTCCGTGGTAGAATCAAAATCGGATCTGACGAGATCAAGGTCGTTTAATCTAATTGCAAGGACAATTGCTTGGGTAAGCTGGTTATATTTCTTATAGATATCGTGTGCGGTTCTGAGGAATGTCTGGTCCTCTGGATAAGTCAAGAGGTTGACCATGCTAACCATGTAGAGACATGCTCGCGTGTAAGTATCTTTATCCAAGTAATCTGGAATTTTTTCGATAATCTCAAGCTCGCTCATCAAATCGACAGCGTCAGCTTCGGCGTTACTCTTCAAGAATAACGGCACAAGAATCAAGGCTAGATCAATAAGATCTTGAGTTGGTTGATCTTCTGCTAATCTCTTGCTGTACATCTCTCCCAATTCCAAAGCAAGATGCCGTGTGTATTCGTGACCCCATGACGCGATATCTGATGTGGGTGCAAGCAATCGATATTTGAGAGTATCTTGTCTTTCTTCGTCTGAAAATGTCATACCAATAACTGAAAGAACATCTGCAAGAGATGTTTTATCATCGCTTTCCGGCCATTGTTCATACAGCTTAATCATAGGCTCGTAATGCGGTCTGAGGAACTTGAGAGGTTTTGGCACAGCGGTCATAGACGAGGTGGAGGTTTTGATCGAATCTTTGATGGCTTCGAGGGCACTTTTGTAAAGAGATTGGTCCGATTCCTGTAGTTGAGACAGTTAGTTTCACCCGCAGCGTCAATGGTGAGTATATGCATACGGTTAATCTTTCCACCAGCATATCAAGTTCACTCTTCAGTTGTTGGTCTTCCTCGCTGAGCTCCTCCGCTGTTACATGGCCATTAGTAAGTGCCCATCCATTCCATACCAGTAACATACCTCCAACGACTGGCTCTTCTTTGGCCCCGTTAACTATGGACTTTCCATCTTTATCTTTCTCTACCTCCTCTGGTTTCTTGGGATCTGAGACCGCCTTTCCTTTGCCCTTGTCAACAGACTTTGGTGGTTCGCCGTCTTGCGCCATGTTGTTTCTAAATGTTAATGTGGAGAGCGGCGGTTCTGAGTTTGTTGGAGATATCAAAGAAAGGCTAAAGACAATGCGCAGGAAGGGTATAAATCACCACAGGTCAAGTGGTAATTGGTAGTAAAAGTGAGTGGTATATCGTGGAATTCGTGATAGCTTTGGATTCTTAACAAGGTCCTCCAGGCAGGTCTGCTTTCGCGTCTAAGCAGCTTCACCAGATCATAGCTTAAAGTAGTGTCCCTAGCAGCCGAATGACACCAACCTTAATTTCACACCTTAAAAAGTTTGAGTCAAAACTGGGTGAATCTATCAATATGTTAGTAAAATCACACCACATTCATTCACAGCCCGGCGGCAGAAAATCCAAAAATTAATTCCCAAGTGACGGCCGAATTTACAACAAAATCCCATAACAACCTTCAAGATGAAGTTGGATACCAAGGCTATGCGGTATTTGACCGCTGAAGACTGGCGCACACTCACAGCAGTCGAACAAGGATCCAAAAATCATGAAGTTGTCCCTACAAAACTCATCGAACAATTGTCAGGTCTTAGAGGCGGGGTTCACAGATGCATATCCGCACTCGCAAAAGTAAATTTGATCGCACGACTCAAGAACGCAAAATACGATGGCTATCGCCTTACATATGGAGGGCTTGATTACCTTGCTCTAAACACATATCGAAAACGCAAGGACGTATACAGTGTCGGAAACCAGATTGGTGTTGGAAAAGAGAGTGATATCTTCGTGGTAGCTGATGAAAAGGGAGTGCAGAGGGTATTGAAGATCCACCGATTGGGACGAATATCGTTTAGAACGGTCAAGGCGAATCGAGATTATTTACGACATCGATCTTCGGCATCATGGATGCATATGTCACGATTAGCAGCATTGAAGGAATTCACATTTATGACGGCTCTGCGAGACAATGGATTTCCAGTACCGGAACCACTCGCACAATCTAGACATACTATAGTCATGTCTTTGATTGATGCATTTCCCATGCGTCAAATATCTTCCGTTCCAGATCCAGCCTCTTTATATGCCGAACTTATTTCGATGATCCTTCGCCTAGCGCAATACGGTCTCATTCATGGTGATTTCAACGAATTCAACATCCTAATTAAGGAGGAAAAAAACCCAGAGAACCCCGAAGAGCCAGTCACCTTAACTCCCATCCTCATTGATTTCCCTCAGATGGTTTCTGTGGACCATGTGAATGCGGAATACTACTTTGATCGAGATGTTAACTGCATCAAGCGTTTCTTTGACCGAAGATTTCATTTCACAAGTAATGAAAAGGGTCCCCATTTCAAGGATGCCCGCAAACTTATAGGTAAGGACGGTGTGAAACGGTTAGATGTATCTGTCGAGGCATCTGGATTCTCAAAGAAAATGGCGAAAGAGCTTGAAGCATATATGAAAGCGGTTGGCGTTGATGGCGATGGCGAACCAGGGGCGGAAAGAAGTGACGATGAATTTGACGACGAAGAAGAAGCGAGTAATGACGATGATGACGAAGAGGAAGAAGGGGGGAAGGAAGAAGAAGAAGAAGAAGATGCTGCGGCTACTCATGAAGGCGATAGCCACACGGACCCAGCGAAAACCGAACTGCAGGGCGAGAAAACTACAGAGATAGAGCCGGAGGGAGACGCAGGGCTGTTGGATGATCGCAAGGAGAAACTTTCACTGTCAAGTCTCAAGATTGAAGAGAAGACTTGATTCCAATTCTCAGACAAAATCAAAAGAATTAATACTGAACGCGAGATTTATTGCTTGCTTTGAGGAGTTATCGTTTGCTTTGTGGTGACCTATACGATCTATATTTGTGGTTGCCACTACGGCCCAAAACATCGGAGGAATCCTCCTGCAGTAATATGGAGTTAGGCCGGTGGTAACATGATCATACCAGAATACCTGCAAAAGTGCTTAATCCAAGCCATCAAATGTAAGTGCCTGCACTCTCAAAGTAGAGAAACACCTAAGTCCTAATCTTTAAGAGTTGTAGTAATGTGGTGTACTCTGCGTCATTGATGTGGCTAGCTTCAGAATACCAGGAGACATTTAATGTTCTTTGCCACAGATTGTCATATGGTGAGGTTTTTGATTCAAATTTAGCTCGATTATGCTACAAAAAGTCTCCATCTACCTACTACTGTTGCAACAAGAACAATGAAAAACGAAAGAAATTACAATGAAAAAAGCAATCTGCCTGATATCCTCCCATGCTGACATAAAAGTAATGTTTCGTACCACTATCGTCAATATGTCACATCCTCGTGGATGTACAGATCGCCAGCCTCGAAAAATATTAGATTAAAAGCGAGTATGTAATGTAACGTAGGTAATACTTCGACCAGGAGTATGTATGTATGCTTGGTGAGTAAGCATGTATGCTGGGAGGTATGGGTTTTTCATAATAGGTATCGTCAAGAGCGGATCATGCCTCGCCATCGCGAGGTAGGTATTCGTGCAATAATGAAATTTAGCGGACAAAATTTGGGTAAATGTTGACATGAAGTTATATGATGATACAGAATGCCTCTCTACTTGCGAGCAGATGGAGAGGTGGCAGAAGCACTATGGGTTATGGATGAACTGTGAACGACAACTGGAGAATCATGAATCGTGACTCCATCGTCGGCAGAACCGCTCTCGGAAACTGTTGGAGTGACGCTTGGAACGACAACGCTGTGAACATGTTAGCGCCTTCTCAACGCCCCACGCACTGCAATTCAATGGACTTACTGAGTCAAGGGTTTCTTGGGGGAAGCCTCGGTCAAGGAAACTTTAACAACTGATCGATCCAAATCCTTGAAGCCTGAGACATGGTGAACAGGGCTGCACTCAAGTTAGTACTTACTGTCCCTCCAAGAAAATGAAGGTGTGGCCTACCTAGGAACACCATCTCTCTTCCAAGATCCGCTGGATCTGGAGCCAGGAAGGTGGCGAGCAATCTGAGAAGCTCGGGGAAGGATAGGAGATGGCATTGGAGGAGAAGCCAATGCAATCATATCTGCTGCAGGAGCACCATAAGCTCCAACATTGTACTCATTGGTGCGGAACTGACGACGTTCAGTGGTGATGCGCTTCAAGTCCTTCTGTGCCGGAGTGTCGGCGTAGCGGACTTGAAGCAAAAGGCCTTCTTCACCGATAGGCTGACCGTGGAATTTTCGGATGATCTCTTCGCAGACATCACGGTTCTCGAAACTGTAACTTTGAGTCAGTCCCATGTGCTAGTGCTAAAGTGAAAACCCGTCAACTTACCGAGCAAATCCAACTCCACGGCTGTGGTTCTGACTATCACGAAGAATGCGACTGCTGCTGACTTTGTAGTCCATGAAGATAGCACCCAATTCCTACACCAAGATTAGTCGAAGTGAGGGCAAGCAGTTATGAAAACACTAACAGATTCGGTCATGGTCTTTGGCAAGTTGGAGACGTAAAGATTGGTGGATGCCTCATCACCCTCTGCCTTAAGACGAGCATTGAAGGATTCCTATCAAATTTTAGTAACGATCAATGGATATTATGGCTGGAGGCATACTCTAGCAAAGCCGACTTCATAACCCAGTTCCCAAAAACCGCGAATGCAAAGCTCGGAGTGGCGAACATCGAAATACTTAGCAAAACCAAATCTGTAAGGCTGTTAGTGATGAGCAAAGGTTTCAATGAATCAGAATCACATACCCCTTGCAAGCACCAGTAGCTGTGTCGATAATTGCCTTGGAGGTCTCGACCTTGCCGAAGCGTGCGGCATATTGCGCCAGTGTTTCATCATCGGTATTTGGGTGAAGTCCACGAATGTAGACATTGCGGTTGTTCTTGATGGGATTGTGCAGGCTCTGATCCAAAGTTCTCATGTTCTCAGTCGGGGTAAAAACTGCGGGAACAGCCTTTGGAATTGGTGGAAACTGTTTCACAAGAGCTTGGATATCGATACCAATAGGAACCGTGGGGTATGGAAGTGCCTTAACAAGGGGTTGAGCGTGAGGAACCGGAAGCTGCTGAGGGGAGGGGGTTGAGCCGAATGGAGATCGATCGATTGCGGCAATGTGAGCACCAGATTCACGATGGGCGAACGAAGCGTAGTATGGTGTTCCGGGAAGAGACTCAGTGGTGGAGTACGAGCCGCGGCGATTCTCGAGGCCAGGGACATCTTTGGTCGAGTGAGAATGATCGGATCTGTCAGGATAGTAGCCAGATCGAGCGTTGGGTGTATATGGGATATTCTGTTGGTATCCTGGGACATAGCCAGGGTAAACCGAAGATGCCTGGGCCAGATAAGGCAATGCTCCCGGAAAAGAGTTCATGTTGTATGCATTCTCAGATAACTGCTGAGGTGCTAGAGATTGTGGCTGGAACATGCTTGGTGCATATACAAGACCATCCGGTGTAACTTGAAAGTAGACCTGGCCTGTTCCCAAAGGATGTTGATTAGCAGTCATTGGACCTGTAGAACTGGGCATGTTGCCAGGAATAGCCAAACCAGCAAATTGGTTGATCATTGCGTTCATAGAACCATCCCCTGCCTGGGTAACGCCAGCGCTGGTTTGAGCAAAAGAAGTCTGCTGACCTTGGGTGTCCCGAGTTGTGCGAGCTTGCTGCTGGGTGTACATAGTTGTAGTGTTGCGGGTTGGGAATGTATTTGCTGCTTCAGCATGAGTAGCAGCTTGAGAGTAAGACATGGTATCCTGGAATAGCAAGTATTGTTAGTATGAAATATAGGTTGAAGATTGATGGAAGATGTATTTGATGGGGAATGGAATGTATGCAAGATAGGATCAAGAATAAGAAGATCGGAGGTGGGGAAAAGTTGAGAAAACAATTTCCTTGTGGATGAGAAGAAGCAGTGAATAAAGATAGGGAAAGTGAAATGTTGGAAATGATGTTGGTGATGTAAAGAAACAAAGCAGATGACCAGACATCATTAATGGGGAATCTGCAATGCGGAAACAAATTGACTCGAGAAAATTGACCCAAGTGAGACATTATTTAACCTACTTTATAGTTCTGGATAAGAACACACTTTTTACTCAAATAATGGTATTCTCGAACAGTTCAACTGAGAATATCATAGTTAGCAACAACCAATGAAGTGTGAAAGAAGTACGGAAATGAGTGAATATGGGGAAAAAACATACCTTTCTAGGAAGAAGATTGGATGGAGCTTATTCCCTTTTTTGGTAGTGTTTCCAGGTGTATGATAGGACGAGTAGAAGTAAACTTGAATAAGCTACTTTCAAGAAACAGTGAAGAAAATGATTTCAGTAGCGAGTAGAGTTTTCTAGAATGATAGAAAGCTATCGAGCCAGGTGGGTTGTTGTAAGGTAGAGATTGTGATGAAGAATTGGTTGTAATGTGATTTGATGTATAGAAGAAGAAGAAGAAGAAGAGAATGAGAAGGAGGACGAGGAGAAGATGGAATGAGATGAGATGAGAAGGTCAAGGATGGGAAGGTGAGCTAAGAGAAGTCGGAAAGACTGATGAGAGGTGAAATTGGAAGGAACGAATTTGAAAATATTGAAAAAGGGCAACTGGTGCCTGTTGAAAGAGTTATTTTGTTAATAACGTATTAGCTTGATATATGGTCGATTAATGTCTATTTCGCTCGCTAGGATTGGTTCAAATTTGGAAAGTGATGATGCTGATTTATGGAATATTGATCTGTGTCCCAGAGATGGTAACCCCTCTTTAAATTTTAATTACTGATGAAACTGGAAGGTTCGACCTCCCAATGTCTGTGTCCTTGTGGGTTCTTCTGTTAACAAGACTGTAGGCAGGAAAGAATGAATCCCCTAACTAGAATAAACATGAAAATCCAAAACTAAAACCGTGAACATACCGATTGTGCTTGCAGTTCCAGGTTCGGTGGCTGTCGATGGCTTGAGTAGGCACTTGTTGATCTGAATGAATATTTTTGAATATTGCTAGGTAGATAGATAGTAGGTAGCTATCGATGAGTGACTTTTGGAAGAGTTGTAAGAGATGTAGATAGACAATTCGTATGTAGGGTGAGAATGTGGGACATAGAAGTAGATACATGTAGACTTGATAAATAAACATCCAAATCTACAAATGATTTTGATAAGGCAACAACCGCAAAGCAATATGACTTGAAATAGGCAGGTGCGGATATTATTGGCGAGGCAAAGTGAAGATTTGTGAAAGTGATGTGCCGTAGTGTGATTGCAAGTGGAAAATTGATGATGGTTTGATGTCGGCAACACAACAAAACGATGCAAAAATTAGAAACAAACCACCCAAAAGATTCAAAATACAAAACTTTACACTTTCAACACTCAAACTTAAAGATAAAGTGACGGTTGATCATTGCCGATCTTGAGATGCGAAACTTGAAACTTATAAGTGTGAAGAAATGGATAGGAACAGGAGACAATAGTCTTCTTTATGGCAACTTCTCATATGGAAGATGCATGTTTTACGGGATATGCATGTAATTGCCCTCGCAGATTGTCACAGACATGATCAAGGTATAAAAGCCATGGAGGGTGGTACAAAGTCCTTGGTGAGTTATTTGCTTCTTCTATTCTGATCAACAGATACAAAACCGTTGCCAAGAGTAGCAGGCACAAACTTCTTCTCGGTACCTTGAGTCCATGCCGAGTACAAGATCTTTGTTCGTACAGGTATTTGAAAAGCTTCCGTCATGCAAGACGGAATATGATGGAGTTAAGCTTACAGAAATGACCAAGATACGCCTCCAAGTATTGAATAGAGACTATCCAGCCACTACAGGCTGCCGAAACTCTTTCAAATTCTGCCAAACATTCTCATTGGCAGTTCAGTATAATTACTATGCCTACCTAGGTAGCCACAGCTTGCCTATCGAAACAAAACTATTAGCACTCATTTACGGAAGTCGGGAAAGCTGCATCGGGAGGAAGCATCTGCCAGGCGGGTCCAAACAATAAACGAATACCAAGTTGTCTACCACGTTTGTTGTCTACTCGATTTGTCACTGTTCCTTTGCAGAATCTGGAAGATCGCAGATCTGTGTTTGTTCCGCTTCTAGAGCTGGTGAACCTCCAAGCCTGGCATTATACGTGGGGTAGAGTAAGAAAAATACGAGAGACGTTCATGTCTGTCGTTATTTGTGGTGTTTGATGGGGGAAAGCGGCCACAAATAGTAATCAAGACAAGATTTGCAATCGAATTCTGAGAGAGAGCTCAATACACCCTTCCTTCGAGACCATGCTAAAATAAGCATGTCAGCTTGAAACAGATCATCCAATATATCTAAATGCATATTATTCAAGAGGGATTTTGTCATTAAAGTCAAGATCAGGACTTTTGATGTTTGTGAAGGGGCTCCAAGCATCCTCAGCCCCTAGCCTTTCGCTAACCAATTACCCGCTTGTGCCGCTATAATAATTACCGTCCTTTTATATAACCCTAGAAATATCTAGTCATATTGTCTCTTGGTGGAAATCCTTTATAGCATGTTATATTTCAATTGGATGACAGCCGATGCTGGAAAACGCGGATGCAGGGCTCCCATCCGGCATTTCGACATCATTTCGAACAGGAAATCGGCCGGTTAGATAGTTTGCGCGCCTTGACCTCTTTTCTCAGAATATCGTTTCTATTAACACGCTTTCTTAGCCCAGTCGGTTTTCTAGATGATACAACATAGATCCGCGCTATCAATGATAGATAAGATTGAACATTTTCAGCCCAATGCATTTAGATGTTGGGATGTGTATTGACTATTGACTATTGACTAACTGCAGCATACAGATCTTTGCAAGCTTTGCTTTCAGGGGTTGAGTTTCCGGTTCCGTAGGGCATTACTTCAGGCATAACTTCAGTCAGAGTTAGAAGTAAGTTACCTTATTAAATGCGCGTCTAGCGTACTCTTGAGCCTAGAATGGAAATTCGCGCAAGAGGAATATACATGGTAACCTTGAAATCATACTTCACCAGATAACAATCCTCGATATTCAAAAAAGGCGATCTTGAATCTAGATAATGGAAAGAATTCTTGAATTCAAGATCTAGGCTGTCTAAGTGACCATCAGCCCTTGCGCATATGGAATACCCGCCCTTGTCAACGTAGACATTCCGCTAAATTCCCATC